TACGACTTTAATTCTAAGAAAAGCTAAACTATGTATACAGCAACTGGGTGGACATTTTGAACAACTAATTCAATAAAATAAAATATACATAAATTTTAAAAAAAGGGGTTTCATTTAAATGGCTGTAGCATAGTATAGCATAGCATAGTGTTTTGACATTTTAAACATGAAATCACCCTAGCAACACCCTCCTAAGCTATGGCAGTCGTCGTGGGACACCATGTAGGTAGCTATGTTTCCATGGTAACGCAATGTATTAAAAAAAATATAGCAAAAACGTCCAAAAGTGTTGAGGTACCCCACACAATGATGAGAAATTTTCCAAGACTTCCGAACTTTTCCAAATTCTTCATGAAATTATATATTGTAGAACGAGATGAAAAAACAATCCTACGCCACCAAAAATAACACTTCGCCGGCACTGTCTGAAAATCCAATATCAGCCAAGAAACGTCAACACTCAAAACGAGATAACTTTTTGAGTCTTCCCCTTCATCTGCCGTTCAGTTTATTTGAATGGGAGACCAGTGTACTGTATATCTTCTTCCTTTATAACCTAAATAAATTATATTTACCCTTCAAATGCAGTAGGAATACAATCTATCTGTGACTGTGGACGTCCGTAGTTGAAATCGTATTTTGGCATTTTGGCCGGTATTGGAATTCTATAAATTGCAAACATGCATACGGTGTTTTTGCATGGTATTTTGATTAACCGGCGGTCAATATTGGTGAAAATTAGTTACATTTAGTGTTTTTATTTATTTATATTTCACAGGCTATTCAACAGGCAGACGCACCTACTCAATTACACAATATAAGCTTATAATATTTTCAAAAAAATCGGGAAAGTGAGCAATAAATTTTCTTTTCACAAAATTTGTGGATTCCTCCTGCGTCGGTTTTTGTTCAATGGAACTTGCTAACGTTTCGCCAATTGGCTTCTTCAGAGTTCCAGGAACCCAGGAGTTTTGTAAAAAGTATTATTTACAACTTTGTAAAGAAAAGCACTCGAAGAAGTAAGTCACACACTAGTGTCTAAAATTTCTGACTATACTGCTTAATAAAATATATGAAACGGGAAAATTGCCTAGAGACTGGCTGGTTTCCACATCTATTCCCCTTCCTAAGAAAGCAAATTCTACTGGGTGCTCTGCTGAGGCTCAACTGCAGGAAGATAAAAAACGATGAGGCACATATCAAGAGTTTAGGGACAATGATGAAATCTTGGAAACGACATATAAAATAACGTACTTGGGCTACAGCCTGAACAAGGAATGGGAGATCAAATGCCGCATAGAAAAAGGCAGAACCACCTCAGAAAGTACTATGTAACATGCACGTGAATATTACTGTAAGAACACGAGTTATGTTATGTATTTTCCAAGCTCCTATACGGAATGAACCCTGGATGTTGATTTAAGCGCTTGGACGCCTTTGAAATGTAGTGCTATCGCCGCATGCTCAGGATATTATACTCCTACTATGCCACAAACTGGATCAGGGTCCAGAAAATGCAAAAGCAACACGAAGTCACACATAATGTGAAAGTGATAGAGAAATAGAGAATGGTTTTTGCCATATATATATATATATATATATATATATATATATATATATATATATATATATATATATATATATATATATATATATATATATATATATATATATATATATATATATATATATATATATATATATATATTCATGCTTCTTTTGTCGATGATTTATATATATATATATATATATATATATTTAAGAAGAAGATTTAAGAATAATCTGTGGTTTCTGCAATAATCAGTAAATCTGTGAAGATCGCTCTAGAGCTCCAATCTCTTTTTTTACTTTTAAATCATCGACAAAAGAAGCATGAATAGAAGCCGGACAACAAACGCCAAAAGTAACAACAAGAGTAAAGGACCCAGATGAGATTTCTAGGGGACACCCGAGGTAATATTTGCACAACAAAATTTTTTACCATTGACAACAAACTGAATTCCTTCTGTAATATACATTTGAAATTGAGTTGAATTTCAGTTTTATCATCAACGTTGAACTGTATCAAAAGCTTTGGAAAAACCGGTATACACAGAGCACGTTTCAAAACCATTATACATGGAAAAATTGATCCGATGGATGAAGGATGAAAGGTACTGAGTTTATAAGAACTGAACGCTTTTTGTGAAAACCATGGTGATTTGGATCTAAAAGAAAAAAACAACTGCGAATAAATTGCAGCCTCAAAAACCTTGGTAAAGTGACATGAAAGAGAGATAGGGTGATAATTTGCGGCGTCTATAGAATCACCGGAATTTAAAATAGGGACTACCTGGGCCACATTCCATCTTTTAGGAGACGCCCCTTTACCTAGACATTTGTTAAAGAGAAGCTCCGGCCCTGGGCTCTTTTTAGGATCCAAGTTGATAAAACGTCACTCTTGCTAGTAGGAATTGATGAAATGTAGGACAGAATAGCCCTCGGTTCAAACACACCACTAAAATAGTAACAAAAAAGTTGATTATTTGCCATCAGATAACAACATTCTCGAGATTTTATAGTTATCTTCCACCACTTGAATTAATAAAATAAAATAAATAAAAAATACAATTTTTAAGTTGTTTTTAAAACTCATTAATTTTTTCCTTCTGCCCTAACCATATTTACCAGTAAAAGTTCCTTCGGAACGATATTTCACTTAGGAATTTATTTGAAACGTTAATATCCTTCTTTGTGCTTTATAAACATTAATGTTTATCAACTACAATATAGTGTAAAGTGTAAAATATAGTGTAAAGTGTAAAATAAGATAATTAAGTATCTTTTAGATTTGTAAAAGAATACAATTCCACATCGGAGAGTTGAGAAACAGTTGCAAGCTTTTTATTTTATTTTGGTTAACTAGACAGATGTTCATCAAGTTGGCCAGGCGCTCTGCAAAATGAAACCGTCAGTTACCAAAATGGTTACTCAGAGTAAGAAAAGCTTCAACAAGTTCGTACTTTTTTATTTCAATAATTAATACCACAGTACGTGACACAGTTGTAAATGGTGTCCAAAAAAAGGAAAACGAGGAAAGGTCGGAATAGTGAGACGAATGATATATGATGCGTATCAGAAGAATATTGTTTTAACAATTAAAACTTTACTGTTTTGAACATTGACTGTTGCGAAGAGACTATGCGTGCGTTCTTTAGAAGAATTGGTCAGAAATGTCAAAAATTCTGAACATTTTACTCAGATTGTAGGTTCGGTCAGGATATACAAGCACGACATTTTGGCAAGCTTCGATGTCAAATCCCTATACCCGAGCATTCCGGTAGAGGAGGCACTCCTGCTTATAGAAGAAAACGAAGATCTTCCACCTTATATAACGGATCTGTCAAGACACTGCCTGAAAAATGCTTAGTTTACGTACAACGGCAAATTATATCGACAAATGGATGGAGCAGCAATGGGATCATCTCTCTCACCTGTGATTGCTAACCTCTTCATGATTTACAAGATACGTTGATGACGTATTGGTTGTATGGTCTTTTGGCAAAAACCATTCATCCGAGGATTCAATTCACAATAGAACTTGACGAGGATAGGAGTCTGTCCTTTCTAGATGTACACATCACAAGGACAGAAGATTAGAAAACCAGCACCCACCAATGAATGCTGAGTCTCACCTCCACCCATCACAGTTACAGGCAGTGGCAAAATTGCTAGGTTCTTCAGGCTCACAAACGAGAAGAACAGAGATGATGAACTGAAAAAAATGAGTAATTGTCTTCGGCAAAACGGATACCATCAGCAGGGCAATAAGCAAACAACAGCAGCCGTAGCAGAGAGTGCAGGACGAAGACCAACAGAGATCGATCGCTGTTCTGCCATACATCAAGAGGGTTACGAAATGTTCTTTGAATGTGCAAGTTTCGCCGAGCAAAAAAATCATCATACTACATGCGGACTCTGAAGCTGGTTGGATAGATAACGCTTTCTTGCCTTGTGCAAAAGATATCATTAAACAAACCACAAAAACATTTTTAAAAAACGGTTTTTTGAAAAATTGTGTCCCAATATTCCACCAAACAGTGTTGTCGTGATCGACAACGCCAGCTACCATTCTGCACAAGCGGAAAAAATACCGAATTCTACTAAAGAAGGCTTCAATATTTTTTGCTTGACAATGATATGTATTTTGAATATCCCTGAAGGCGAAAACGTTTGTTAAGTAGTATAATGTGAACAATTTGGTCATGGAGCGGGGATTCAAAGTTGTCCGTGTTCGACCATGTTACTGCAATAATTAATCCATCTGAAACAGTACCTCTCCGAAATTTAGTACTGAAGCATTAGAATTAATTAGAAGTGAAGTGAAGTGAATCTGCTTCTAGTTGAAAAAAATGTGTAGAACAATCGAAGAAGAAAATGTTTACAAAAGTCGAATACTACCAGAATTAATTATTAATGTGGGGAATGAGTCCAGTGACCATAGTGATTATTTTAATGAAGAATAACTATTTTATGAATATTCCAACATTGTCTTATAGCTACATTTACTCCTCATTTATATTTATAATAAACATTTTAAAATAATAATGGCTTTTTCACTACATGGATTACAAATAATTGAGGAATCTCACCGATGAAACTCAGCTTTTGGCATTCGGATGCACGAAATACGAATTGCGAATCTATTTCTTGATGGTTACAAAGAGAAACCCAAGCGAGGTAGGCCTGCGGTTAGAGCTTCATGAAAATTTCCCAAAGTTAAATACCGCTAACCGGTAACGGTATATCGTTCGGAAATATATACCTACGTCGGGTCGCCTATGACGTCAGTGCTGCGTCAAAATGCATGTTCTTCTATCTTTTCAGGTAAAGGAGTTCGTTCGTTGAGAACGCCGATAATTCGTCGCCACACTCGGTCGCCGAGACGACTGCCGACGGCGACGACGGCCAAAGTTTTGTCGATACACGTAAACAAGGATTTTAGGGGATTAATTTTTCAGACGTTCGGCCGGCAAAGTTTCGTACCGACGCCGGCGGCGGCGCCGCCTGATAGGTATACGTTTTGTCGCTGACATATTGTACCCAAGTAATTAAAAAGTAATTAGTTTTTATCGTGACGGGAGAGGGGGTGATAGCGGAACGCGATTCCGGGAACCCGATGACGCGATGAAAATTAATCAAAGTTTGGGCAAACAACGGTGTACTTGGTTAAACGAAGGATTTAACATTTATCATTTTGCTTCGGATATTATACGACGCATGTTTCCCTCATGGTCTGCCATGTTGTTATTTGTTAGATATTTGAGACGTGAAAATTCCGTTCATTAATAATAATAATCGAGTTTATTCGTAATGAAAAATATATCAATGTACACTATAAATAAATATTTATCAACTTACTAACAACTACACTGGTTAGCAAACGCACCACTGCTACATTTCAGTATCACGATAAAACTTTGTCTTCTTTTAAATAGATATCTTAGTAGGCTGCGAAAAAAAAATTGAAGTCTTGCGTCAAATAGTTTTTTATTGACAGTATTTTAAACAAGACGGTCCGAAAAAATGTCGCACATAACGCAAATTGAGTATAGAGCAGTCATAAAGTTTTTGACAAAAGAAGGGTTAGCACCTAAAATTATTAAAGCAAGGCTGGATGGTGTGTACGGCCAAAGTTCTCCTTCGTATTCTGTAGCGAAAGAAGGGGCAAAACGTTTTCGAATATCGTAGGAGTCCCTTGAAGATGATTCAAGAACTAGTCTACTAGTAGAGGTCATAACGAAAGATATTGTTGCTATTGTGGAAGAGGTGGTATTGAGTGATTGAAGTTTAAAGGTCAAGAAAATCTCAAAAATTACTAAGCTTTCTGATACCAATGTTCGTCGAATCATTCAGGTATGCATAAGGTTAGTGCAAGATTTGTTCCTAAAAACCTTTCGGCTATTCAGAAACAATGCCGTGTCGAGTGATTGCGGTCTTTTTTGGATCTCTGTGGGTCGGAACCGAAGCCTGTGATAGAAACTATTGTGACGGAAGATGAAACTATGGTTCTCTGTTATGACCCTCTATCGAAAAAAGAATCAATGGAGTAGCGTCGTAAGAAAATTCAGAGTCTGCCAGTCAACAAAAAATCTTTTGGGATTGTGAAGGAATTATTTTGATAGATTTTAAAGAAACTAATACTGTCAATAGTAAATATTACGCAACATTATTATATAAATTGCGAGACTGCATACGTCGAGGAAAACTGACCAGAGGCGTGCGTCTTTTGCACGATAATGCACCTGTCCATACTGCTGGTGTTACACAAGCTGCCATTTTAGAGTGTGGGTTCCAACAGATAGATCATCCTCCCTATAGTCCAGATATGGCCTCCAGCGACTATTATTTGTTTGAATATTTGAAAAAGGACTTAGGTGGGCGACAGTTTAACGACGAAGTTGAGTTGTTTTAGCTCGTTTTGCAGACAAACCAAAAAAATATATTTTTTAAAGGTATTGAATTGTCAGTAAAGAGTTGTAATAAGTGTATTGAAGTTAAACATAATAAAAAAATGTTACTCTACTTTGTTTCTTTCATATTCAGGCTAATAGTACAGGGGCTCGTGAAGCAACTATGTAACAAAACTTTGATAAGATCCGTTCAAAATGCGCATGCGCGAGATTTGAACTTTCGTTTTTAACCAATGGCAGCTCTAATCGCATTTTCTGACGTTCGACCCATAAGGCCTTGCGGCTTCCGACAACCAACATAGCCGCTGGCCGCATGTTTGGATGCTGCATTTTTACGGCAGTATTTTCTCAAAATATATCGAGATCCCATTAAATGTTCAGGCAAAAAAGGAATTAAGGCATGAAAAGCGTCGTTTAAGAAGTAGATAAATAGACACGATATTAGCTAATTTTTCCCGAATTTGTGCCCATAAATCGGCGCAAACATTTTGTTTTAGTAAACTTAGTTTAACCTCTATTGAAAATGTAGATAAAGTCGAATTCACGAAATGTGACTCTAAAAGTGTAATTTTTGACCGATTCGTTTTCACTAAGAGTGATGACAAACGAAAACTTTCCCACATTTCTTGTCATTGTTTTGGTAAAACTTGCAGGTTAATTGTTTTCTTACATTTCTCAATTCTTGTACGCTGAAACATATTACCCAAACGTCTTTCCTATGTAGCTATGTAAGTGTACCTTGCAGCTTGTTAGATCACTCGGATTCCCCTAAGAACCTACTAGGTCCTCATATTTGCCACACTGGTCTTTTTGTGAAGGAGCAAGCATTGGAAGCACAAACTATACAAGTTTCCGAGTGTAAGTCATATAGAAACCACTTTCAAATCTTTTAAATTAATTTGTACACTTACCCGTATGTAACCCCGTATCCTTAAATTTTATAACAACAATGGTACAGACTTCTATGGCAATAACAATTGCCAATTATATTCGGATTTCAGAGACTGATTTTGAGTTATGAGTTATGAAAATTAGTCAATTTCTTCACAAAAATTACGACAATGTGGTAACTCAGTTAGTTGGGGGGTGACGCATGCGCAAAAGATCCACACCTTATCTACGGAAACATCATAGCCACCTGCGGCGCATCACTTTTTACCGTAGTAGGGCCACTATATTATCTTGTAGCTATATGTACTCATCAAATATTTTCATGTTTTAATTAACTACAGTCGTATTGTAAATTAACAAAGGGATTAACAGAAGAAAAAATTCCAAAAGAAGATAAGAAAAAAATAAAAAAGATCAAGAAAATTATTAACTTTAGTTATAAATACTATTCGTGTTAAAAAATACGGGCCTTATCTCGTTTTGATCCAAATTATTCTCTACTGTAGATCATGTCCCAAATCTTCTCAATTTGGTTAAGATCGGGACTAGTTGCTGACCAATCCGTAGTTTCAATTCCAACCCCATTAAGATAATTCAGCACAATCCTACTGCCATTTTCAATAACCACCAAGTCAGTACTAGCAAAACACAACTGGCCCTCTACCAAATAATTTGGTGTTTTGAAAGTTACATTGGACATTTGGTGTTATACATCTATCTGAGTTGTAGACACAAAAACCTGGTTTCATCTGACCAACAAAAGAAATTTTCCCAGCCTTCATTAGCCCAAAATTTGAGCTTACTCTGGGGTTAAAGCAGGTCCTTGCTCCAAGAAAAGAACAAAACTAAAATTCTGGCTTCTGCACCATTGTGGAAATCAGTCACCCAAAACAATATTCATGTCCTATCTTTAGCTCCGTCCCTCCGTCCCAGATACAGAATCCATCCAGAAAATTTAGGAATAATGAAAGAGAGTTTAAATAATAAAATAATAATTAAATCTCTAATTTTGATAGGAAGTTTAATTAGAATCACTATCATCAACAATATTGAATTAGAACAAGAATGTTCAGATTGTCACAGTATTGGTTTATGGCAGCTGATTCGGCAACACCGAAGCCGCTGTCATAAAACAATAAATAACTATTAAAGCTTAAACATTTTTTGTTCTAATTTAATGGCTTTAAATGGGTTTTCATCGAGTAAAAGCCACCTCAGTTCTATTATCAATCATCATCAATCATCAATAATACAATAATATAGAGAAACGCACTTTGTGACCACATTCTTCAATCAATATTTTATTAGATGTTTATTTCTAAAACGATAATACAAAAAACAGCTCACTAACTCATTAAATATTTTTATTTTTAACCACTCTTGTATTGCATTTTGTGCACAGGTAATATTTGTAATTTTGCAGAGCAACATGCTGCGATAGAAAAAGCATCAAAACAATAGTCGATGGCATAATCATCTCTTCTGCCTTTTCTTGAAATTGAATTTTTCTTAAAAGCAATATTTAGCAACTCGATCAATCCTCGTCTCTTATCACCTTGCTTCCATTTAAAGCCTAGCCATCAATTACACTTACATGACGTATCCAATAGTATATCTCTCCCCGCCTAATGTACAGAGTTATGCATTTTATTGATTTGTATTTGATCATAACAAACCCCCAATTTCCAAATGTAGATAAAGGTGTGCTTCTGACATACGGGCATGTAGAAAAAGCTCTCGCCAAGCTCTAGCAATGGAAAAAACAGAACGTATTTTTCTTCTGGAGGCCTTGCTACTATGATCAATATTTCCATGACAACTTTTGAGATATTTTCAACAGTAAATATTGTTTGTTCGTTGCGAATTGTTGGAAATGTTTTATCATTGCATGAAAAGTTGATTTGCTACAGGCACACAGTTTTTTTAAAAAAAAAGCACAGAAACAAGACCTAGATAGCTTTTTCTGCATTCCCCTTATATAAGAAATTATCAACTTCTCTATTTTTAAAATGATTGTTTTCCGAACTCCCAATCGATAAGCCGGTGCAAAGCCTCCTGTGTAATATTTAATTTTTATAAAAATATATTTACCGATTCAGTTTTTTCCTTCGTTTGACCTTATTTTTATCACTTTCTCAAGAATGTTGGTTTACAAATGTTACAAAAAAGTACCACTTTTAAAAAGTGGCTACCCCCATTGCTATGTGAAAAAACTAGTTTTTCTTAAAAAATTATTAGGAAAAATTGCAATTAAAATTTTTCAAAACTAAATAAGGATCTCGTTAATTTTTCAAAGAAACTTCCACAGGCTTAATACTAAACTTGCGTGCAAAGAAATTTTGAACTTTTGACTTCAATTTCCTTTTTATTTAGAAAATACTGATTAGCAAAAAAATATGCTGTTTGAAAGGCAATTTAATATGCTTTAATACGAGTTTAAATTAATTAAAATTTATTTCTGCTTTTTACTTTTTTTTATTACTAAAAACAAACAGGGTTATTGACAATTAGCAACTCAATAATACTTAATAAGGAGTATGACCCCCTCTTGCCTTAACAACACCTCTTATTCGATTGGGCATAGATCTAATCAAATTCGCTATTGTTCTTTATGGAATGTTAAGCCACTCTTCTTCTACTGCAACAATAAGCTCTGGGCTCGAGGTTGGTGTACAAAGTCTAGCTCAAATTGTCAATTTTAACTCATCCC